AAATAATTTCCTTTGTCCTTCGGGGAATGGGGAGTAAGGATACTGAACGATTTGAACGGGATATTTATTTAGTGCAAATGAACTGTCGCCCTGGCAAGATGTGAAGTTGAGGGACAAGGTAGCCAAAGTTTGTACATGGCTTCATGAACATGGGGCGGCAGGCGAGCACGGTGGTAACACTCGTGCCCAACAGCAAGAAGGTCCTGAGGTCGATTCCCGAATCGGGCTCCTTTCTGTGTGGAGTTTGTACGTTCTCCCTCCTATTCTGCATGGGTTTCCTCCGGATTCTCCAGTTTCCTCTCATAGCTAAAAAAACCCCATAATGTAACTTACATTGACCAAACATTGGCAAATGACTTAATTGGAATGACACCATTGCAATATGGAAATCTACTTTGAAAACGTGGCAAGGACCCTTTTGAAAGAGAGTCTTGAGACTCGGTAATCCTTTCCTGGGTAAACATGCGTAATCAAATAAAATAATGAGTACGATGTACTCATGATAACGTGTATTGGGTTAGATTGTGTAAACGTAAATGTGTCACACACCCACGTCCACCGAACATCGCCAATTTGTAAGATTTGTCAATTGGATAGGCTTCTATCTAGTTATGTAGAACTTCTTTCGCACTGTACGTGGCCAGTCGTGTTAATTGGAGTCACTTGATAACCCTTACTAATTGGCTGTGTTGGCTGGACGTCGGTGTACGAGACATTCACATTTACGCAATCTAACCCAAAACATTTACTTGATGGAAGGGGTTGTGAGGATGTCGAGACAAGTACAATCTGCTTTCCTATGACGCGGTAGTTGCGTTCCTGAAGAACACCACATTATGGAAAAATCGCGTTATAATAAATAATATCTAATACAGGGTAAAGCACAGTCTGTGCTAACGCGTGAGATGCGTACGCAGGCCGAACAAAGATTGAGGAGCGTGGGTAGCATCTAGAAGAATCCAGCAGCATCCCGCCTTGTGTGATGATGATGATGCTACGCCGAGGCAGCCGTGCGACCGCTTCTTCCTACTCGAGCGACTTAGTCCCGTTCACTCGATCGCGTTACAGTAGAACTCGGAGATCGAACGCACCAGAACTCGAACAAATCGGTGTTCGAACGATATTTCTGAACATTTTTTGCCCCGGAAACCGAACGAAATTAGGAGGTCGAATGGGCAATTGCGACTTGAAAGAACCTGTACGGCTGAGACGCGTATGGCCAGCAGCGTGCATGACGCTTGCCCAGACAAAGGGGACTCCCGTTCCAAACAATAACACCACCACCTCAAGCCATCAACTCTCCTTACTACAGGTAAAGTGAAGTTCAATGTTCATTTATTTCATTTATTCCATATATTTATTCATTTATTCCATTCATCTATTGTTTCTTGTTTTTTTGTACGATTTTATGCATGTAATTACTGTAAACTTCGTGTAAAAATGCTTTATAATGAGATATTTCTTGTGCCTGGAACCAATTCATGTCATATACATTAATTCTTATGGGAAAAAATAATTAGGTGTTGGAACAAATCTGTGTTCGAATGGCCTTCTGGAACGAATTAAGTTCGATCTCCGGGGTACCACTGTATATCCAATTCGCGTTATGAAAACAACGCAGCGTTATGGGACAATAGACTGTATTGCATTTCAAGGGTACGTTGTTTATCGCTGGCTACATAAACCACAGTGGGGTTTACCCTGAAAAGAAACAGCAATACGTGGATTGGAAAAAACACCAAAACTATGCCGTTTAAAGACAAATTGGCTTAAGCCGCAAGTCGAGCCTGGGCAGGCCACAGCGTGAGACGGGGATGGTGGGCTGGTCGTGAAAGTAACAACCGAGTTGCAGCCAAAGGAGGAAACGTGCCCAAGAGGGCATCTGCCGCGGAAATGAAAAGTGATCATATCGGCTTGTGTTGTGCAGCTGCCGGGCGTGGATTGTTACATTACAAAGCTGTCCAATGATTGAAAAGGTTTTGGTGGGTTGTGAGGGTTGGGGGCCATCCATTTAGTAGGTACGCAAAAATCTGTCAAAGCCTGGCCCCTGCCCCCCTTCCTGTACGCACGCGGACATTTTACACCCCCCCTCCCCAACCTGCGTACGTTCGCCTGACGCACCCCCCCCCCCGAATCTTATTTAACGGCCGATATTTAATCCACGCAGAAATGATCAAGGATTAATAATATCAACGTGTTTAAGCAAACAGATAGTCCACCGCCGGCAGCATTAAATAATTAAGTTGCGTACCTTGGCCACTTATTTTGCTGAGCTGCGTGATAGCTGCAGTCAGGGGTACGGTGGCACACGAGTGACACCTCTCCCGGCAGTACTTGTTGTCTGACAGCTGGAGACACTGAACTGTGGCTCATTTGAAGGCCAATGTAGACAAATTATTATCGAGGCTTCACCCCCCTCCCCCGTTTCCTATGCGTACATTGTCAGTAGACCCCCCCCCCCCCCATACGCAAGCGAACGCATTTGGGTTAACGCGCCTCCCCCTCCATGCATACGGACTCAATGGATGGCCTCTTGCTCATTTTTAATATGGGAGAGTGAGGAGTTGAGACCCATTTTCCCTCCCATGCAATTGCCTCAATATTTTTAAAGGGCAGCGATGCGGATTTTTAAAAAAACGTGCTTTCAAGGCGACAGAACGAAGGACAATAACTCGATCCATAATACAATGAATCTTAACAATATTTGGAATGTACTATCTATGCTTTGATTCGTTATGCACTATTGACACGCTATGCACAAGGACGCGAACCGACTGCGGCGGATAACAATTTCTTGACAACGCAGCACCACCAACTCTTCAAAGCTCTAGGGCGATCGATGGCAAGGAGTGGTGGTAGTAGCATCAACATTACCACCCATCGTGACCTCTGCGCCCTGAGCCGTCCGACGTTACCTCCTCTGCTTACGATTCCAGCATCAATTTCCGCTGGCTATTTAATGAGACCTCCTTTGCCAGAAACAAGATATAGGAATAGGTTTTACCCTTTTAACTGGCACAAAAACTGACACCTTTATTCAAGGCATCATGTTTGCAATGACCACAACACAAGCAGTCAAAATGCAAACAAAAAAGACAACTCTGATAATAATATGCACTGTCCTTGAATTTGATTGGTCCACACCCGAGACAGCTTTTCTTAGAGCCTAGTCTCCATTGGTGTTGGACCAGAAGACGCCAAAAGGCGTACAACTCAAAAACAGCGCACTATCAGAGTATTGAGGGCTCGGGGTGAGAGTTGTACGCCTTTTGGCGTCTTCTGGTCCAACACCAATGGAGACTAGGCTCTAAGAAAATCTGTCTCGGGTGTGGACCAATGAAATTCAAGGACAGTGCATATTATCATCAGAGTTGTCTTTTTTGTTTGCATTTTGACTGCTTGTATTGTGGTCATTGCAAACATGATGCCTTGAATAAAGGTGTCAGTTTTTGTGCCAGTTAAAAGGGTAAAACCTATTCCTATATCTTGTTTCTGGCAAAGGAGGTCTCATAATGTTAATGCTCACCCCGAGTCCTCAATACTCTGATAGTGCGCTGTTTTTGAGTTGAACGCCTTTTGGCGTCTTCTGGTCCAACACCAATGGAGACTAGGCTCTAAGAAAAGCTGTCTCGGGTGTGGACCAATCAAATTCAAGGACAGTGCATATTATTATCAGAGTTGTCTTTTTTTGTATGCATTTTGACTGCTTGTGTTGTGGTCATTGCAAACATGATGCCTTGAATAAAGGTGTCAGTTTTTGTGCCAGTTAAAAAGGTAAAACCTATTCCTATATCTTGTTTCTGGCAAAGGAGGTCTCATAATGTTAATGCTCACCCCGAGCCCTCAATACTCTGATAGTGCGCTGTTTTTGAGTTGAATGCCTTTTGGCGTCTTCTGGTCCAACACCAATGGAGACTAGGCTCTAAGAAAAGCTGTCTCGGGTGTGGACCAATCAAATTCAAGGACAGTGCATATTGTTATCAGAGTTGTCTTTTTTGTTTGCATTTTGACTGCTTGTGTTGTGGTCATTGCAAACATGATGCCTTGAATAAAGGTGTCAGTTTTTGTGCCAGTTAAAAAAGGTAAAACCTATTCCTATATTCCGCTGGCTAATAACGTAAATGGCTTCATTAGTTGTTTGTAGCACCTGTTTTTTTCTTCTGAAGCATATGTGGTGGGTATAAATGGAGACTCTGGCGTCACGTTGGAGGCAACACGTTTATTCCACGCTCACACTAAGGGGTAGCTGCCCCTTTACCAGTTACGCCAAGGTGGTAACCCACGGGGCTCGCTACCCTAACACACACAGCCCGCTCGCTACCCCTCCTCGGGACCCACTCGGGTCCGGGGTCCCGGGACAGCTCCTCTTCAGACGCGGCTTCTTCAGCAGCAACAACTCCCCCCGTCCCAACAGGGGACCCCCTTTATATCCCCCGTGCTCGGCTTGCTCCGCTCTCAGCCCCGCCCCCCTTCCGGGCCCCCCAGTAGGGATCCCCATTTGGGCACGTGGTCCCCTCGGGGGGGGGGGTAGGACCCCCTTGCCCCCTTGGCAGGACGTTCCGTGACGTGCCTTGGGCAAGAAGGCTCCGCATCCATGGACATGCGACGATGTCGCTACACATACATTTCCTCTCAGTTACTTAGTGTTTAAGTATTTATAGACAAAGCGCCCGGAAAGCAGCTGACCCTGTCATACCTCAAGCAAAGAGGGGTTGAGCCACGGTGGCTATGAGATGTTAACTACCTCGCTCGGCATACAGGAGGTCGTGGGTTCTACCCCGACCCTGACGCCCGCTGTATATTTGGAGTTTGTGTCTCTCTCTCTCTCTCTCCGTGGTCGCGTGCATTTTTCTCCTGGTCCTCCGGTTTTCCACTCCACATTTAGAATCACGCGTTTAGAGTATTCGGCTGCGATACATTTCCACACGATAAGCCAATTCTCTGAGCTATCAATTGTGGCCAGTTCGCGTCTGAAAAAGAGTTATATAGCTCAATGGGTCTTACCTGGTAAAATAAAAATAAAAATTAGGATAAGTGCTCGTGTGGGTGACTATTTATGAAACAGGTGCAGTCGGTGAAATGGGTAGTCGAGGGCGGTGAAGTCAAATCCATGTTGTCTTGTACTCTCTGGACCTACACCAGCCCAGTGACCAGCGCGGTGAAGTATGGTCAATTAACTCTCACTGCCTGCACAGTAAGAGGAGGTCCTCATCCAGCAGTAGATCGACGACACATGGCCTGTACATATTCGCGTACGGGTTACAACAATTACAAATACAATTAGAATGAAGGATTACGTTTTCCCGTTTTAGTCAAGTCGACACCAATGCTCATATCGTGCCATGACAGAAGCAGTGGAGTAAACTTTGCCAACGGAGCGGCGATAGGATTTGGCTAAAAAAAAGATTGTTTCATGGTTTAAGCCATTAGCTGAGTGTTGGCTGCAAATACTGTACGAGGTTGAATCCAGCTCAAATTGCGTGGCCAATGTGAACGAGATTCGGTCGTGAAAAGCCACTTCCGCCTCTGTGCAGACCAGTTGCCGTTATCTCAATGTTACTGCATTTCCGTCTGCAGGTCACAAAAAAAACACCACCCACCACCACCACCCTTCTAAGAACCACCCAGTGGCATTGCGTTGTGAGGACGCAGAGAGTCTGCTGGCCAGCCCAGAGCTTACGGGCTTGCCAATTCCATGCCGCAACCTCTGCGCGTTCTCGTTTAATGGGAAATATCAGCAGCGTGTTGGGAAGTGGACTTCGTTGAGGCCCGAACTAAATGACATTCGTCAAAGCCCAAAGCAGGTCGGTGATGTTCGTGACGTTGGCGAGAATGAATGGGATCGTTTATTGTGAAAGTGCTGTAAATTCGTACGTAATTGTGAATTCGTAATTATGTATATGGGACTGTATATTCAATTAAGAAATATATATATTTAGTAATGTCAATGTCGCGGATGGATTTAGAGTGCGGTTTGTGTTCAAAAGAGAGTTGTTATTTTGACCAGTGGCGTTTTACATGGATTGTCTGAGAAAAATCTAAATTATGAAAATATGGTTCCCTTCGATACGGTACTTATAATAGGGCAGTCATGCAAAACAGTTGGATGTACAATTGCTACTCTCTGGCTCTTCAAGCATACATAAATGACATAAATAATAGTCATACCCATTTAGTTGTGTTACCATAGTACTTTTCATATGGGACTCATCTCATGCAGCTGACAACGTTCAGAAAATAAAATCGGAAAGCAGCCAGGACCTGATCTGATGGTCCAACTCATCCCCACTTGAAACACAAAATGCAATCTCCGGTATCATGTGTTGAAGATGCTTAAGTCGTAAATCGTAGAATGTTTTTGTATAGTTTAATGGCCGTACAGTAGGTTGTGTTTTACTCTGAATGGCCACGTGTATCTCCCTCATCATGGGCTTTATTTTCTATTCGGCCATTGGGCTAATGTTTAAAAATATTAAACAGTCTGTGCTTTTCTTTTGTGGCTGTTGAGCACTTTTTGGTTGATTTATATCAAATTTCCACAGTAACATTACTTTAAAATGTAGGTATGTATGTTGAACTCCTTTCGCACCGTACGTAGCCAACCATGCTAATCGGAGTTGCGGATATAAATCATACCAGAACAAAGACATTCAAAACAGTTATGTAACGAACAAGCAGACATTAACACAGTTTACACGTGATATACAATATACACAATATATGGCAGTATATAAAGTTGTGTGTCGAGTAGGCCCCTGGTTACTCAGGGTAATAGGTACACGTAATTATTGTGTTGGGAAACTTGGTTTATACAACTACATTTACAGTGACTGGGGTGCTGCTACAAGATCATGGTGCATACATTCTATAGATAACACAGACATCTTCATGTTCTATTCCTCCCGTTTGCCCTATCTTTTTCTCAAATATTTATTGTCGTGGGATTTGCACGGTTAAGTCACACGCGAAGGTAAAATGGAAGTGTCACGTTTATATTTTAAAGCGTGATCATTAAATTGTATGTGCAAAAGATGGAGGTCAGCTATGGGAGATTAAAAAAAACCAGTCGTGTAACATTCAAGTTCAGTAATTTTGAGAGAGAGTGACATTTGGATTATGTAAAGAGCTGATGACATCAACTTTTGGTGCAGCAGCATTTCTATTTCGCAAGTGAAACATTTGGACTTCTTCAAGGAAATCGTCGTCATCAATCTGAAATTTCCCCACCTTGCTGCTTAAGGCTATTCAGACACCGTGGGGAAATCTACGTTTTCCCAGCTGCAGAAAAAAAACACCGCACATTTTAAATAGAAGTTTGGTGTGCCCCAGCTTGTCGCGCTCATTCTTATTCCTGGCCACCCCCTGTGTGTGTTTGTGTGTTCATCGGGGAGATTCTGAGATGCAGCAGTCGTAGTGGTAGATTTGGAAGCATGACCAATGAACATTTAGTTTGATGGGAGGTTGAGAAAGAAGGTCGTGTTTTTCTGGAATGCAGTCAGCGACACGGGTGGCGTGGCATTGAATAGTCGTTTCAACAATGTGAGTAAAAGCAACGGCAAAATGGATTTAGAAGTCGGTGATATAAAAAAAACATTAATATTTTCCGAAATGCGAATGGAAGGCAAGAGAAGAGCCTGAGGATAGGCATGATGCTGTATATCCGTGTCAGGGGTTTGATTGAGGAGAGTATCTCGCTGCGTCGTATGACGTTTGACCATTGCGTTTGCAACAATTGTCAAATATCGAGATGAAAAATATGGAAGAGTTTCAATGGAGGGGGAATATAAATATTGACAGATGAAGACATTGCCAAATCTCAATATTTCTCATTTGTTCACAAATGGATTTTTTAAAATTATGCACGGGGCAAACTTCTGCAGCAGTTTATCACTAATGTCCCGCACCTCCGACTAGAACGGTTGGCTACGTACGGTGCGAAAGAAGTGCAACATATATACACAGTGCAGAACTTCTCCCGGCTGTGGTCGGTTCGTTCGGGGGAGGGGGGGCAAGCGATCACGTTTCAGAACACTAAGCGTACACTATTGAGGTCCTGGGTTAGAGTCCAGAGGTTTGTTATTTGACCAGTCTCTCAAGTGTAACGAGTTGACGGTCTCACCTCAGACCCCCCCACCCCCCTAACCGTGTGAAACAGCAGATAGCATTTTGGATGTCACTTCAACATTTGGTGGCACACGGCTGTAATCCGGCGTGGGTGGATCACACAGACGTTGAGGAACGTCCGTGGGTGACGAGGTGCCATAGCTTGCCAAGAGAAGGCGGTGCAGAAAATTGAGCACTAATATCATATGTTCCTTCTGCATGGGATACAGTGTTGCCCCCTCGCACTTGTGGGGCTTTTCTCTTGAGTGCTCCGGTTTCCTCCCACACGTATATATTCATAAATTGTCTGAAGATATCATAACATATATGGAGGACTGCGGAGCTTGGGGAATTGTTGGCGCCAGCTCACCGCTTAGCTGTATTCCAGCAAGTCCGTGGATCATCAGCAGTTGTGAAGTAGAATTTGCATGAATGATGCTAAATAAAACGTAATAATTATTTTTCCAGCGGGGAGGAGCTAAATTAGATTTTATCGCGGTAAGATGAACATTCGTTACGGGGCAAGAGGAGCTTACCATCGCTGCAGTTTGGAATTTACCCGATTAATTCTTTGTTACCAAAAAGCAGATTGGTTTCTATGATCAGATGGCCATAAACTCATTCAATCATGTGATCCGAATTGAAATTGGATTAGTCAGTAATTCAAATACATGTAGTAATATCTGGATTGGATTTTGACTTAAAGCTTTCGTGACTGCAGGAATCCATACTCTTTGGGTCTTTCGGTAAAGTCACGTAGGTAGAAAAATAGTAATAAAAATCACGACGTTTCGATGTGTTACGGTCGAAACGTCGTGATTTTTATTTATTATTTTTCTATCTACGTGACTTTACCGAAAGACCCAAAGAGTATGGATTGGATTTTGTTTCATAATATTGTTAACGTGTTTATATAGCATAGGGAGGATTTGACACATTATTAACTATGCCTGATAGCTTAATGCGTAAAGTTATGGTATCATAATTAATATAAATGTATTAAATGAATATTCCAAGTATTCCAGTTGGCTTTAGCAGATACATAAATACTTCCATAAATTACGTGCCTTATTGAAGCGTAATGCCCAATGGTATAATAAGGCAAAATTACATTGCAAAATGTTTGTTAGGAAGGATACTAGGAAATGTAATTTAGCAAAACGGGGTAATAAGTGAGGGAAATTTAAAGTAAAAAAGATAATTTTAGATGTGTATCACCTTTACGATGTCGATATTATGTGTAAGCTTTTTTTATAACTGCTTTTTGCGTTTAGTTTGTCGTCCTTCCCCCACACCTCCGATTAGCACAGTTGGCTACGTACGGTGCGAAAGAAGTTCAACATACTGTATATACTACATACGTGCGGACTCATACGCTTATTGTAGTCTTCCAGATGCCACGGCAAGTTTCATGTTTTCCTGAAGATTAATGCCGTACATGTCGAAACTAATTATTATGAAGAGTTTTTATTATAATTTATTTTGTATTGGAATCAATGGAGGCTGGAGAAACCACGATTTGATTTGCAAATAAACTACGTTTTTCTATTAAGTATTTGCATCTATTAAGTTGCAGGAGTCAGCGTTTACTTCACAAATCTATTCTTTAAAAAAGATGTATTACCTCCCAAATATTAATCTCAATTGTGCTCGTGAAAAATTATATCGCTCGACAAATAATCGATTCAGCATTATCGGAGCTGTTCATCTCCCGTTTGTGAGAGAACGGCCCACGGAAATAGATATCCTGTAACTATATCTGAAAACCCGAGTGACCTCTTATCCACACGTTCGACGCATGGCAGTAAAACACATATTTGGAAATCCTTAGCCTGAATTTAGTCAAATGAAGTCCAGGACCAATTGTAAAATCATGTTACGTGCAGTCGTTGGTGACCAAATTTGAGGCCATCATCGCCTCGCTAAAACTTGAGAACCTGCTTTAACCATGGACAGTTTTACAAATTCGAACCCAGGTGCTCGGCAGTGTTAGCTCAGCGCTCTGCCACGTGAGTCACCTGGCCGCCCCAAATCAATGGTATCGTTCATGGAACATTGTTTAGTATTAGTCGTTACAGAGACTAAAGGACGCACAAACCCCCACCACTCAATATTCTATCACAATACTGTCTAGTTCTTTGGTGACGCATGCCTGTGATCCAGCACTTTGGAGTGAGGGTTTCGTTGGGATCGTGTCGATATTTTTGAAGCTCTCAACTTCCACTGTTGGGCTGTGGCTGGGAGATGGCTCGCAAGTGGTGTTCACGAACCCGTCTGGACAGAGCGTTGCTTATTATTTCCTGTGGTCCAGTTTCCTCACACGTGACAACCCAATACTGGAATTGACCAACCTTCCCGTTGCAGAACCCTCCTAAGGAAAGAGTCTGGAGACTCCGTGAAGCGTAACGCTTAAATGGCTCTTTCACTCCGTTGTGTGGACTTTATACACATGCTGCAGATGATGGTCGCCCCGACTTTAATTTAAGAGCATGTAGAATGTACAATGCCTGCAGTTTTTTTATGAAGCAAGCACCTATGGAGCAATGCAACAATTGAATCAATAATTTTTTTTGCAAAACGTGTAATTGTAACAGTGATGTACCATGGTGCATCACAACCGCACATGGCAGGCCAATGCGCTCATCTTGTCTGCAGTGAGGAGTTTAAAACGTAGCTCCACCTGCATCTGTGGAGCAATCCA